TTAGCAGATCATTTTCATTTTTAGTTCGAGTTTAGATTTTGTACATTCCAAAGATTTGTTTTTAAAATATCGTTTTGTTCAGTCATCAAAAATTGTTGTCCCTTTCTCATTCGGATATTTTCTCGATGGAAGTCATCGTTGAACTTCTAGTGCACCGTCAGCGAAGTCATAGTACGTCAACACTGCCAAATGAAACGGTGTTATGCGAGGATTTTGATGCGACTTTGAAGGGTGGAGATGATGCGAATATGTATGGTTCGCATAGCAGTGTAATACTCTCGGAGATTGTTGCCAGTTGTCCGGAACCGGAAGCGACCAACTCTGAGTTGTTGACAGATTTCGAACTGCGAAAAACAAGGTTTTTATTGTTGTTGATTTATGTTCTGTCGTATAGAATAATCTAATTGTAAGGTTTCATCATGGCAGTCCTATGCAAATAACCTAATTGAGACGGTTTCAGTTCCTTTCTCGCAAATTATTTTTTAAATGAATTGGACTTGAGGTATTTGAAACGTATAAAATTCGCGTACTAAGGCCTCTGACAGTCGAAAGGCTAAATTCCGTTTGATTGCAGTTTTCGGGTATGATAAGACCAGGCCTGTCAAAACCGATGTAAATGAATGAATTCTATAGGCACATATTGATTTACTCACCTCAAATATGAACTTGTTCTGTGCGGATGGAGTTAAATTGCATTCGCTCATCTGCATTACCCCTCAAATTATTATGTGGGTTTCTTGGAATTCCTGATCCAATACCAGTGGATCGATGTTCAGTTGACAACAGCAAGCAATAATGCCCGATATTTGTCGAAAATTGCAGATCGGTGGCCAGTTTCAGTGGTCCTTCATCGGAAATGAGCAGCGAAAAAGGCGATAACTTAGATTCGAGAGTTGTTGAGACATTAATCATACCATCGGAAACAACTTCAATGAATTCAGTAACACTCTCTTCATCGCCACAAAACGTCAGCGTCGAAAATGTGATCATTTCACAACTTTTCGATGGATAATATCTTATTCTGCAAGGGTCAGAGTAGTGTATTGAAAAAATGACGGTTGCGGGTTTCAGTTAACGATTACCTCATCCGAGAATGCAAAATTACGTCCTCAATTTAATTCCTAACTTAAGGAGTAATGTAATTTTTAATCAGATACATTATCACGCTAAGTTGCACTATTCAGTCACAATCTATAGCATTCACATGACAAGTTCTCAGATTCAGTTCCTGCGAGAAGGCGATAAAAATATCGACAAAAAAGTGAATCCATCGCAGTCTATGTCAACGAATCAGCTCATCACACAAATGAAATCATCGAGTGTTTCGAATCTATCAGTACGAGACGATGAAGTGCTCTCGTCTCCGAAGGGTGACTTTCTCAAGGATAATAGCAGACCTGCATCTCGTCGTGAGCGAATACAAGTTCGTCATTTGTGCCCTTCGAGTAGTCATCAAATTTTGACTTTCCAAAACTCAGCGAAAACTTTCATTGCGATGTA